TGTTCAGACAAGAGGAAGGAGCTGCTGTAGCTATGCCAGCATACCTGAGAAGTGCCCAGGTGAGCAGGAGGTAACAAGCAGCTGCCCCTTCACTAACAGCAGGGGGAGATCAAGTCCAATCACAGCTTAAGATCACACTCAAACTGTGGGCAGGAAGGAAAGCAGGTTCCAAAAGAACTTCCAGACTTTTCCTCCAGGTTTAAATATCCAGAGAGAAGCAAAGCCCAAACACCAACTGTATGCTGCTCCTCTTAGAGCTCAATTAAACAAAACCTTGTAGCAAACACTTTTGGGCTGCTAAGCTGAGTCCCTAGTGTGGGTAAGTTTGACAAGGTGAGTATAAGTCAAAATGAGCAAGAGAAAAGGATAGATTTCTGGAAGATGTTTAGGATGCAGTCAGAACCAGATTAAGCAGCTTTCTTCCCGCAGTAATTCCTGAACCCAAGCAGAGGACAGCAACACAGAGGTAAGAAACAGCTCTGGAGAGAGCCTGTAAGACTCACCTTGCAGGATGTTGGCAGGGCACATGTCAATCTTGGTCACCACAACAAAGACAGGAACGTTAAGTGCAAGCGCCAGGCCTAAGTGCTCCTTGGTCATTCCAACAATCCCAGCATTACTCCCAACCTACACCAGGGATATAAAATACAGGGATGTCAGTGCTTCTTCAGCAGTAAGCTGGATTACAGAGGACTTGTGTCAGACATACAGTAGACTGTGGTTAAGTTGCAGATGTGCCACTGGGGCCGTATGACCAGGCCCAGCTCATCTCAGATGTCACTGCACACTGGCAAAGGACCAACTCATTTCTCCCCAGTTTTAACAAGGTTTTCTAAAATTCAGAAATCCTTCCACTTTCAAGAATCACAAACCTTGGGCCTGTCTGGGACTGACAGTCCTGGGGCACTTGCCTCACAATACAGGACAGACAGCCACAGAGGCTTCTGCTCTCCTGCACCATGAGATGCTGCCTCCCTCCAAAACCCCACAGACAGTTTGCAACAGAAAAGAAGCTGAGGCTGTAAAAGCTGTGAAGAGCTCCACTCCAGCTGGTATGGTCCATCTTTCTTGCTACCTACCATAAGCATGCAGAAGTCAGGCAAGTGTCCAGTCATGCCAAAGACGGTGGTTTTCAGGTACTTTTCGTGACCAGCCAGGTCAATGAAAGTAATGACCTTGGTGGATTTCTCACAGATCTTTGTCCATTCCAAGCTGCCACCGTGGCTGTCAGGTTTGTTCACCACGTTGCCCTCGCTGTCGAAGCCCAGAATGTCATTGCCCACACTGCTGGTGCGGCCTGACTCGATCTCGTGCTTGTGGCGGAAGAGCTTTTGCCGAGCAAAGCCCCGGCCGTTGTCTAACTCACCGTGAGTCAAGACACCCAGCAAGGTGCTCTTCCCTGCGTCCACATTGCCAACCACTGCCACCCTGCAGGGGAAAGGAAAAGGAGCCTGGTAAAATATGGGACCTGAAGAAATGAGCAAGTGATCGAAAAAACCAAAATATCACTGCTCCCGCAAATAACTGGCTTTTGATCCCCATCCTTCAAACAGAGATTAAAAAATGTTAGAGCTTCACAAGCAGAGCAGAGATTCTTTTATAGTTATTAATTAACAGAGGAGATCCCAGACTCTGGGGACTGTGATGTGGAAGACTGGAAACACTGTCACAGGTGTCTATAACATAGACAACTGAACATGATGTTGCTTGATGCCACACAGAGCGTCTCTATTCCAACTCCTTGTCTCTGTAATCCAACATAAACACTGTGGCAATTCAAAAGGAAGACTAAATCCCAAGCTGGTCTAGAACACCTCTGCCTTTCTCACATTTCTTATATTGCAACAGCACCAAGCGCTAAGAAGAGCATAAAAATTAAAATTGTTGCTCCCAGAAAAGGATAAGCTAAAAAAAAGTGGAATCTTTTACAAGAAAGCCATGTCCTACAGCAAGTTCCTTCTTTGATTAATGTGGCTATTATGGCTGTTGGCAAATGTTGGAAATCCTCTCCATCCAGGTCTGGGCAGACTCTCAAGCCATGTTATATAAGCTAGTATATGTCCATTAAAAGGTGACTTGGATCATCACAGTCCTGGAACAGAACCGGATCCTTTGTCAAAAGTATTGTGTTCCAGCAGTGTGCACATATACACATACACACAGCCACATGTGCACATGTGACTCCCCTCTGGCAACCCAGCATACAAAAAGATGCCCCCAACTTTGAGGCTGTCACCCAGAGAGCAACAGCCCTCTGCTAAACACAGGCAAATTTCCACCAACAGTTTGCTCCCAAAAGAGACAGCAACAACAACAAAAAGGCAATTTCATCAGCAAGGAGGGGCGAAGCTCGACTCCCTTTGTTGGGCAGCTCCAACACCCCGACCTGAAGCGGCGTTGCTGGCTCAGCACCACGCACTGCTCACACGGTAAAAATGCAGCTGAGCTGCTGACTAACCCTGTCTCCACCCGGCTCCTCACCTGACCTCCAGGAAGTCGTTGTCACCCACACGTTTCCGAACCAGGTAGTCGCGCACCTTGCCCCCGGCCTCCTGGTGCTCCCTCAGGAGGATCACGTCTGCCTCGATCTGCTCTGCCATGCTCTTCAACGTGGCGTAGGACGCCTCCATGTCTGCCTCACTCAGCCCGTACTCAGTTCCATCTGGTGTGGTGTGGAGGAGACAAAGGGCAGTCAGTGAACACCACCTTGCAACAGGCAGCAGCACTGTCATCCTGCCTGGCACCTTCACAGCCACCAGGATTTGTATGGGGACTGCAGGTGTCGGCCATGTACACAGAATAAACACCCTTGGTCCAAAATAAAAAGGGATGGTCTTCGCTCTAAGTCTTAAGAGACACTAGAAAATCACCATCTTTCATCTAGAGGAGTTCTCTTCACAATCTTTACAAGCAAATACACAGGGATTGGCAGCAAAGACACATTTCTGTCTAATTCCCTTACTTCACCTGCTGAAGGTACTTTGTGTCCTTCAGGCAGACAAAGTATCTCCTCTCATATTGCAAGAAGAGGTAAAGCATTAACAAAAGGAAAGCTCTGAGTAAAGCATCACCACAATTAGCCAGTAAATGTGGCACTGCTTCCCCAAGCAAAAGAGCTGACAGTCAGAGCCTGCCAGTGGCAACTATCTAGACAGGGTCAAGGCCACCATTGTCTCTTTCCCAATCCAGGTGCTGTGAAGATGCACAGATTTGACCCCAGAATCTCCTTGGTGGATAAAAAAAGCCCACAAAACAACAAACAAAGGTGGAGAGCCACACTGCACCCAGATGACCAAAGTTATTGCCATGTGTACATGTTCATATGCATGGCTGACTCATCGGCTGCTAAGCAGGAACTGCAGTTTGCATGAACTTATCAGCATTTTAATTACTGCCCAGCTCTAAAACTAGCAGAGTTACTGGGCAATTTCCAGCCTTGCTCATAAGCTGACTGAGACTGAGGAGTACTAAAACAAGCCTTGGGTTAGAGGAGGGGAACGAAAGGTAGGGGACAGGAGATAGCAAAACCCAAGGGAGAAAGGGAAAGGTCACTACTGGGGAACTAATAATCTTCCTGTGGCAGTCTTCAATTGCTTCTCAGCCAGCTGAGTTGGGTATCTGGGATGATCAAAATCACACATGCTGAAAGGGAATGAGAAGGAGCGACAGTGGCAGGGATACCAAGATCCTTTCTCTGCTGAAAATATCCCCATCCTCCTCAACTATGCTGCAACCCAAAATGAAGTCAAAAGTTTAACCTCATATTTTAAGAAACGAACGTCTATTTCTAAGTAAATCACTGCTACAACTACCAGTTAACACTCTCACAAGGTATCCTAGAAGAGAAAGCAGGTACCAGCCTGACTAGCTAGATCTCCACTGCAGATGTGCTTATCCCAAACACCAAGGATACAGGCTACATTGGGAAGCTTGCTTGGTGGCAAGAGCACAATCCCTGGCTGCATGAATACTGCCTATCTAATTCTGGCTTCTCCTCTATGTTGGCTGCTTGAGAAAACTCAAAAAAAACCCAAAAAGCACACAGTTCTGAGATTACACAGCTCCCTCCCTCCATTATTTCAGCCAATCCTGGCAGGGTTTCATATTCCTCCTCAAACACAGCAAATGTCTGATCATGACAACTTCATATTCAGTAGGTATCCAGTATGCTTGAAATATGCCTTTTGCCTGTTGATAACCATAGACAATTATTTTATATCCAGAAATTTCTATTTCAAAGCAAGGGCATGCTTTGCCCTTTACCAGCATCAGCCACAAATACTCAAATTGTCAAAAAGAACAAAAATGTAATCCATGCTAACTGCTAAAGTTTGCAAAGGCAAATGACTGCAGTCACATGCAAATTAATGTGACAATAAAGATCTCATGCAAAGCAAAGGAAAACCTTTCCCTTCATAGCAGACACATACTACCACAGAAAGTCAGCAGCATATATTTTGGCTACGTCAAGTATCTATAATAAATTCCTGTGGGGTAAAAATATGTTATTCCAATGGAGCAGTGAACCAAATCAAACAGAACAAGACCTTCACAGACATTGAGGACATCTGTACTGAAGCTGTTATTATCATTTTAGATTCTTTGTCTTTTACTGGTGTGCTCAGACAAGATATGCCTTATTTCCAAATAAGAACTTGCATGATTTTATTAAAAAAATATATTTAGTTCCATTACATGAAACAGTTGTTGGCAGGAATAAAACAAAAGAATCTGTCCCACATATTCTGCTATATTTTATGGACATTTTCAAGTCATTCTGGAAAAGTAAGCATCAACTTCAGCAGCAGTCTAGTTACATGAATGAGGTTTTTTTATAATTTTAATAATTTGTTGTTGTTTTGCTGGAGAAGATATACTCACCTGATCCTTGTCCAATGACATAGATGGTCTCCCCACATCCCTCATCAATCCTCTCTGACATCTGCTGGAGCAAACTGTCATACTGCTCTGAAGTTGGACTCACCATCACCAGCTGGAAAAAAAGATTGAATATCTATTTGCAGATGTCAGGCAAACAATTTGAAAACCAGTTTCAGTTACAAGCACAATCAATCTATGTGCTTTATTCAAAGAGAAGGACTCTTTTTCCAGGACCGCTTTGTGGTGGTTTTGTTTTGTTTTTTAAACCAGTTCTGCTGACAGCTATTTCCTGGTGACACAGCACAAGGTTGTTTGTCTGAGCTCAGAGTTCATTTATGCAGGAAAATACACTTCAAAGCAAGTAAGAATACCAAGCATCTTATTTTGATGTAACCAATGTTTAAAAGCCACATTTAAGTGAACACTCCAATATGTTTTCATTCAAGGAAAACAGAAAGGGGAGCAGATTTTTCTCCACAGAAATTCCTTAGCTGGGTACTCCACAGTCTCTGCTGCAAAGAGTGCTGCTGCTCCCCTGAAACACGACTGGACAGTCAGAGAAAGCCAGCCAGACCTCACTGCAGAGAACACCTGGGCACCAACATCCAGAGCATCTTTTAAGTCTTTCACGTATTTGATGTCCCCTTCTGTTTTCTGAGGGGGCAGAAGGAAAGGAGAGAGCATAAATAAGCATTATTTTCAAATTTTAGGTACTTCACACAATGGTGCTGAGGGGCAGACATGCAAAGCAATTTGTATGAGCACATCTAGAGGTTTCAGCAGTGGAGAGCTGCAGTTTTGTAGGCCAGCAGCTGTACTACCAACAAACTTTGACTGCAGATATTGCAATAATCAAACTTCCTTTGCCCTTCCTTCCCCAGTCATCAAGAGAATGACAAAATAAAAGAAAAACAAAGCAGAAAATGAGGACAAGAGAGTGCTTCAGGAATGATTTTTCCTAGAATGGAATAGCACCATTTCTGGCAGAAACCTGCACTGCTCACACAGCAGAGCTGAGGACACTTCCACAGAGCAGCCACAATGGTGGCATGGCAGTGCCAGACCAAGGAGACCTCCATCAGCACTCTACCTGCTCTCTGGCTGCCTCCATGGTTACAAATCTGTTGGTGGCTGAGCATCCCTGAGTAGCCTGATAGCTGTAGCAATGGATACCCATTTCTGTGAAAAAGGCACTTTAAGTAACAGTTATTAAAGGCTGACACCCACCAAGAGCCCTAAGGATAGGCACATCTGTGCCAACACTCAGGGACATCCACAGCTGTCCCTACATACACAAAAATCACACCCAGACAGAAGCACTTCACTATACATTGAGACTGAAAACTGTGCTAAATTAGATGTTTGCCTAAAACATATGGTTTAGAGCAATTGGCAATAACATCCTCCAGTCTGCCCAGCATTCTCTACCACAGCCTGACTTGCTCAGCACAGTTAACACAATGTGTTTTCAAGGAGAAACTACCTTTACCACTACTATTTCTACCACTATTACCACTACCACTTGATGAAGGCCTTCTTTGGACATCTAGAATGTAAAGGAACCCAAACCCCCACAAATAATGTTCAAGCAGCTTTCAAAACCATAGTGATGCATGCTGGGACACTGAAGCACAGATAGCAGAGGCTGCCAAAGCAACTTTTTCCACAGATGTTAAGGGCCTCAGACAGCAGGGATGTGTCTGCAAGGGCCAGACAGCTACAAGAGATACAATCACCTTCACGTGCCCCTCTTGGACACATGCCCTACCTAAGCCTTTCAACTACTTGGCAAAGTGGTCTGCAAAGTGTACCAAAGCACTCTGCTCTGCAAGGTCACAGTCTTTCTATTTCATGCCATAAAAAAATGAGTTTTGCTTTTATTAGTTTTTCTTTCAGTTCTGTTTTACTTTTAGTTTCATTTTCCTCTTGAGGGAAGCCACTGGATGTAAATGCACTGAGAGTGAAATCAACAGCTGTTGAGAGGTTCAATCCAGGCAGGAATGGAAGGCTGTGTTTTGATGTGTAGGGCTCATTTTGCCCTGCCGGTACTTTCAGGAATACCTGGATGCACAGCAGACAAGCTCATTCTTCAGGCCAGTGCACCAGCACAAGCCAGGGACTCAGGAAGATCTATTAAACAGGCTGTAACACACACAAAGATCAATAAAATAGGGACCACCAGCACAGGGCAAACCAACTTCAGTTTCTTCAAGTCTCATTGCCAGCTTTGTTTTCCTGAGTCCAAGTGCTTCAGCAGTGCGAGCAGGCAGGGTGCTGTAACAAGCACCAAGGCACTCAGCAGCTCATGGTACCCTTTCCTCACATTGCCAGGCAGGAGGGCTGGGGGCCTCAAACAGCACAGGCTCACTCACATCAGCCCACAACACTGTTCCCCCACACTGCTGCTTTCACTGCCATGCAAAGGCGCTCCTGAAGGGTGCTCCTGTAGCACACTGCCTCCAAAGTTTACTCCGTGGCCTATGAAGCTTACAGCTCATCCTCACAGCAGGACATCAAGAGAAGTATCTGCAGATAAAACAGCAGCTTTCAGAGTTTCTGACAACTATTTCTGCAGTCACAGCCCCAGCCAGTTGTGTGGTTTCCTGGATCACTGCAAGATGTGACGTGCTGTTTTGAAGACCTCTTTAGCTTCCTGTCCTCTGCTATCTCCTTGGTCGAAGACAAGCCCTCCATTTTGGCTCCTTCTTTTTTTTGCTTTTCACCTTCAAGCAACCCCTCCATGGCTGCACTACGAATGCATGTTTTTAAGAAGCTTTCACAAAGTCAAAAATGTTCACTTTTGTCCTTTCCACTCTGTCAGGCATTGAGCAGTTATCAGTAGGAGCCATGCGGGTCTAGCAACCTCAGGTTTCCTGTAAGGCAAAAAAGTGACAACCAGTTATTGTTTTATTCTTAGGAAACACCTCACAAGTTCAAAATGCCATCTCTCAAGTCCCTTCCCAGTCTCTGAGGAGAGGTGGCTTTGCCTGCCTCCACGAGGCAGACAAACTGTAAGCATTAGGGGCAAACCAAATACTGTGTGGTACACAGTGCTGCTCTTTGCTGGAAAAACAGAGCCTGTTATTTTGCACAGCTGGAAAGCCACCATCAGCCACTGAGGAGCTGGGGGAAAGGCACCTTCTGTAGTGTCATATTTTGTTTTCTATGCCCTGTAGACATACATTGTTGAGGTGCTATTATGTTCTGTTGTCAATGCAGATCTAATATGAGTATCAGCTTCACCAATAGCCTTGTGTGCTATGGTTCTTGACCTGAAAGGTGATTACTGCTGCAGTGTGCTGGCACTGAAGGGAAAACAAACACCCATTAAGATCAACATGGTAATGAATTTGTGCTGATGAATGGAACTGTTTCCCTGACCAGGAGACAAGGTGCACTTGATAAGAGAATCCCAAAGTGTTCCTCTCTAAAAAGAGCTCACCTTACACACAGGGAAATGACTGGGGGAAAGTATTAACACAGCCAAGGGGTGGGTCAGAAGGACCAGGACAGAACCAGCAACTATCAAACAAACTGACTGCAGTGGGAGCCCCCATTTTAAGTAGGGATTGGAGTGGAACAATTCAACTGGAGAAAAGTTGGAGGGATGGGGACGTGAGGGAGGCACAGGTTAGCTACTGCATTCTCACCATATGAGATTGCTGTTTTGAGCACACAGTGGAAGATTAATTCAGAAAGATGGAGCAGAGCTCACAATTTCAGCTCTCATCCAAGGTAGGGATGAATGAAAAGTCCAGGGAAAAGTCAGCAGGTGCACAATGTTGTATGGAAAAGTAAATCGTAATAAAGATCAAAAAAATGCTTACCTATCACCTCCACAGCACCTCCAGATTTCTAGGAATGGAAGACTGACACTACAAACGGGAGTTTATGGCAGAAAAGCACTCTTCTCTCTTTGCCAGAGTTTTGGTCAGGTTCCTGGCTGTCAAGAATCAGTGATGCAGTCCTTGGCATCCTCCTTGGCTCTCTTCCACAGCAGTCACGTCCAAGACAAAGCACAGATCAATATTGGCATCCTGTATAAAAATCTTGTCCAGCTCATTAAGGCACAATCAATAGATACTAGAGGTTTGATTTCTGTTCTTTACTACCTTACAAGACATCTTTGTAACATTTAATACAGTACCTCATTGTAAAAAAAATCCATTAAATAGAAAAAGGTTTCCATGTCCACAGACACAATTCTTCTTTCCTTCTCTGCACATAGAAGGCAAGAAAGTCCAGGACTCTGGAACAATTTAAGCTGGAAGCATGAAGAGGAGGGATGACAGAAAACCAGGAGGAAACAACAGCTATGCCAACTTCTGGATCACATAATTACAAGTGGACTGAATTAAGTTTTCAGGAGACTTTAGAGTGGGAGAGAGCACCAAAGCCGTGGCAGCAAAAGGCATACAGTTAAGAGATCAGCCAGCCAATTGGGGAAAAAAAAATTAGAAGACAGTGACAGAAGGCAACTAAGTCAGTGGCAGGCTCTGGTACACGTGTATTACTACAATGTACCTTCCTGCAGGATGGAAGCGAGAACTGGCTCTGACAGAAGTAAGACCACCACAAAGTTTTGTCACTGGGATCCTAGAAAGGAGCTGCACAAGGCGAACAAGCCTTTTCTGCGTTGCCTTAACCCTGTGTGCAAGAGCAGAGCACCCTTGTCACTGGGCTCTGGTGCTCAAAAGTCACAAGCTCTGACCTCCTTTTAAGATTGTGGAGAAAGTCCCAGGAACTAGTACAACTGGCAGCAGAGATAACTGCAGAGCCCAGCGCGGAGAGCACACGTCGGCGGGACGTTGCAGCAGCTGACAGCTCCAAGCCCAGCGCTCCCCGAGCTGCTGCACCGGCGCCGGGCCGGCGTTGCCCCGAGCAGCCCAGCTGGGGAAGGAGCAGGGCGGAGCAGCCTGCCAGCACCCTCCCGTCCCGGCCGGCCGACGGGACAACTTCACTGCGCCTCTCCCGGCCGCCTCCCCACGGCACCTCGGGCTCTGCCGCCCGCACAGGTGATGCCGGGGCCGGGGCAGCGCTCGGGGGAGCTCCGGTCCCGGCGGAGGCAGGCGGGCCGCAGCCTCTCGCTCTCCTGCGACAGGTGCGGGGGAGCGGCCAGGGGCGGGGGCAGCCCCCGCGCTCGGCCGAGCGGCAGGGCGGAGAGCAGCGGGGCCTGGCGGGGTGATGGCGCTCGCCGACGCCCGCCCCCCCGCCGGGCCTACCTTACTGGTGAGGTCGATCTCGGGCTCGCCGTTGAGCGCCTCGCCGTCCTCGCCGTCGAAGGCTGCGCGGAGGGGACAGGCGGCCGCCGCCACGCGAGGCCGTCCGCCCGGGGAGCCGGGCTCCGGGGCGAACATACAGGCCGGCACCGGGGACCCCCCGGGAACCGGGGACCTGCTCCGCTCCGCCGCCGCCATCTTCCCTTCCCTGCCCGGCTCTCCGCCCCGGCGCCGCCCCCGGGCCCGCCAAGGCGGCGCCCGCCAATCACCGGCGGCGCAGCGGCTAAATTTGCATGTTGCCATGGCGACGGTGGGTGGTGTAGTGGTTATTCATGAGGGGAGGCCACGCCCCCTCGAAGCGCGCGAAGCCAATGGGAGACGCACTGCCAGCTCGGCTTGTTTTCTACACATACACACACACAACACAGCCCCGCGACGTGTCCGGCGTGGGCTGTCCAATAGGAGAGCGGCGCTTCCTGACAAACAACCCCGACAGCCAATCGAATAAGGGATCCCCACAGGCCTGGGTGGGACTAAGTGCTGCAAAGGAGCCCGCCCTGGTGGGCGGGCATTCTCTCGGATTAGCCAATGAGAAGAGGGGATTTTTTTACTGATAGCTGTGTCAGCCAATGGAGCAGGGTGGGAGTGCTCCTGGTGTCCCTGCTGTCCGCGGGTCCCCCAGTTCGCTCCCGGGGTTCGCAGAGCACCCCGCCGCCCCTACCGCCTCGGGCTCCCTGCAGAAAACCCTGCTCGCCATGCGAGCCCACAGTGTTCAGACCGCGGGCAGGGGCCGCCAGCGCCAAGGAGGAAACCCCTCTGGCTGAGGGGCTCTGCGGACGGGCAGGTGACCCCTGCAGAGCGGCGGGGAAAGCTGCCTGTCCTGTTCCTCCGCCCAGCCCCACGCTCGCCTGCGGCACCGAGCGCAGCCGGGGGGGATTTGCGTTTGTTTATTCGGCGGGCGCTCGGACCGCTTTCGCTTCCGTCCTGGCGTCACAGGGGGCGGGGCCGACGTCGGCGCGTGCGGAGGGGGGCGCGCGCGTGTGTGCGTGCGTGCGCGCGCGAGAGCGGCGCGACGGCACGGCACGGCCCCGCGACCCTCCCCAGGGCAAGGGCGGGCGCCTCGGCCCAGCAGCGAGCCCCGGAGGGCTGGGTGGGGGTTAGACGGGGGCCTCTCCTCAGCGCGGTGGGCTGCGGGGGTCGCTGGGCCTCGGTCGGGTGTGGGAAGCGGCTCCCGCCCGGGTTGCGGTTGCTGTTGTTGTGGTGGTGGTTGTGAGGGCGGGCGGGGTGGAAAGGTGCGAGGCAGGCCGTGGGGCTGCTCCCGCCTGCCCTGCCCTCGCTGCCACGGGCTTGGGGCTCCTGTGGTTGCTAACGGAGACTTCCCTTTGTCGGAGCGCAGGGTGACCCGTGAGGAATCGCCTTCCCCGCAGCCTGGACGCGGGTTTCTCGTGGCCTAGCAAGAAGCGGTTTCCTTTCCCGAGCTGTTGGCATCTTTCTGCCAGGATTCAGTCGTTCCCAAAGGAATGGAGGAATGCAGCTGATACGTGCTTAACCACCCTGTGCTCTATAGGCAGTACCAGGCACTCGCTTCATCTTCTTCCTTTTGGCACTTTGGGGGTGGGCCTCTCCTTGTTACCTGGTCTGGGTACTGTTTTTAGTGGCACTATAGACCAAAGGAGATGGAAGAAAAGGAGCGATGTGATAAATTCCAGCTGGTACCTTGACATTAAGGAGAATCCTATATTTTGACTTTTTTTTTTTTTTCTGTGGAGGGGAGGAAAATACTGCATTTTATGGGGTATGGGAGGAGGGAGGTTGCAGATCTTCCTGTGGTTTTTAAAACCAGCTGTCAGAGGCAATTACTGAATAGACTGAAGCACGAGAGGAGGATTCGCAAGCTGGAAGCAGCGCTAGCCCACAGAAGGAAGGGGCAGTGGGCTGCTGTTGTGACTGTGGAGGCAGCAAGTTCAGCCTCCTTCATTTTCCACCATCTACTCCCCATCCACCCGTCGAGAAGATGAGTTGTGTGCCATGGAAAGGTGACAAGACCAAGTCGGAATCTCCAGAGCCGTCCCAGCTACCGCCACAGCACATTTACCACGAGAAGCAGCGCAGGGAGCTGTGCGCCCTCCATGCCCTCAACAATGTCTTCCAGGACAGCAACGCCTTCACCAGGGAAACCCTGCAGGAGATTTTCCAGAGGTAGGATGCTCTCTGTGCTGGCATTAGCTTCCCCTCATCCTCTACTGATTGGAGGAGTTTTTGGGTGTTATCTGGGGGGAAGTAGAAAAAAAAAGGAGGGATTCAGACTGTGCCACTGCTTTGAACTGAATGTATCTTGGTTTTTAAACCCCAGGCTTTTTTTTATTCCCTCCACGCAGAAATTCTTTCTCATTTTACTTGTTTCTTAACCTGTTCTGACTGCCAGCTTTGGGTCCAAGGGTTTTATTGTAGATGCTGTCGTGGTTGGAGTGCTGTCTTCCTCTCTGCTCACCTTAATGCCTCTTCTACGTGTCTTCCATATTTTTGCCCCTGACTTGTGTAGATCAGTTATCTAGATGTTAGTAATGTATTTGGGGATTGCCTTGGGAGAATAAAGGTAGCAGGAATGACTTACTGACTTATTACTGCAACACTTGTAAGTTTTTTAGAAGTTAAGAGTTTTGCCAAAAGAGTGATTCCTTATTCAGAAGGTTCAGTGAAGTTCTTCAAATATTATGGGCTTTTTTTTTTTTTCCATGCAGCAAGACTCTCTGTACTCTTTCAAACTGGATTTAATTTCAGTAGCTGGATGCCTGTTTCCTGTGGCATTGCTAAATGTTTCCCAGGAGCTTCAGATGATTAATAAAGTGGGTTTGAGTTTTACAGGGATGAATATAAATTATTAACGTGGCCTATGCAATAGCTCATATTTTGCTCAGTGTTTGTTTTGTGGTGTTTTGATGCTTTATGGAAATTCTCCTGTGTGGGCCTTTATAATTCTGGTGATCCACCACTGATGAATCTAAGTGATGATAAAGGAAATGATGGTATGGATATCTCCTGTGATACTCAACCTGCAGGTGTTGTAAAGATGCTGTAGGTTATGGCTGAATGCCTGTTACCAGCAGTTGCCAGCATCTCGTGTTTGTGACAAGCAGGAGATCCCACATCATGGCAGCACGTGCTGTGGGATGAGGCTGTTGTGGTACCTGTGCTGGTGAGCAGGGAGCTGTTGCTGCTCTCCTGACAACTGGCAAATTTATGAGTGCTTGACTCATCAAACTCTTGCCTGTCTTTGGCAAAAGAATGTGTTGAAGGACAATAACAAATATCAGATTGAAATGCTGTTTATTATAAAGCATTGTAGGTAAAACTCCTGCTGGTGGAGTGGAGATGGCCCATGGCAGGCTCAAGGCACTCTTTGTCCAGTGTAAACACGCTGTGGTTTTGTTCCAGAGCAGCAATTGTCAGAATCTTAATCACAGCTGGATTGCTCTTGGCCTGAAGCAAACAAAGGCAGTTCATGTGGTAGAAGGAGTGTGATGATCTAATTAGTTGGCTTTCATTGTGTTTGGTGAGACAGAATTAGTGTGCAGCATGAGGCCTCTCAGAAAAAGACTGGATATTAATCGTGTTGGAGCTCTTTCCCTAGAAGGGAGAGTTTGTCTTTTATTCCAGCCTGGAGTTGTTCCATCCTAATATTCAGATCAAGACACACAGATTGATTCACCCCCATGATAGTATGGAAATACACGTGGATATTGCTCTTGGAAAGGGATGAGCTACAAGTTATACAAAAGAATTGCCACTGCCTTTCTGTTTCTGTTAGGTGACTACTTGTGTGTTGCTCTTTGACTTGCCTTTAAGAAGTGTGAATTTAGTTGCCCTTTTTATGTCACTTGCCTTTTCCTGTGTCTGCTCACATTCTATGTATTGGTAAAGGATGGATGAATATTTTTAATAACCTGCAAAAATGTTGAGGTCTGATTTTTAAACCTGGTGTTGATAAGGTAACAAACTTAACAATAACAAATAAACTTAAGCTCTCTAGCTTTTACCACATTCCTTGGAGAATGATTGAACCACATTGCTTAATCATTAGCTTCCCTTTTGCTGCATCCTATTGTGTAAGGCCAGGGTATCATCTCAAGCATATGCTGAAACTTTGGGCACCCCTGTGATGGTGTAGTCTTTCCCTCTTCTTTCCTCTAAAACAAGAAATATCTTCTCGATGTTCTTCTGGCTTTTGTTGCAGGAAGTATGATTGTATGTTTCAAGTGTTGCATGGAGATACAAACAAAATCTCTTTGCTTCACTGGAGTCTCCATATTGAGACCTCATTAGGAAAGACAAGTGCATGCAGGAATCTTGGAGCCCCTTGTGTTAAGACAACATGTTGATGAAAGTTTCTGATAGAAGGATCAGGATGATTATTTACCTGGATTTCTGTCCAGCCGTGTCAGTCTTCCTCAGCTCAGTGGCTCCATAAAAAATACCAAAACTACAATTTAATTCCTTGCCTGGTCAGAATCCTTCAGCTGATGATTGTGGACCCTGCTTAGGTATGTGTGGGTCAAGATGTTGAGGTGGCTCTTGGGGAAAGTTTGTTCACAGAAGCCAGTTTTTTGTTGCCCATGCTGGTCACCTCATCGCATTGCTGGGGCTCTGGAAGTTACGTGAAAGAACAAAGATGAGTGTGTTCTTTCAGCTCTTGAATAAACTTGTCTGGAAAATGGTGCCATGAGAGGGTGCTCCTGCAGGCCAAAGGGCTCTCTGGATTGTGAGGTTTTCCTTGCTCACTGGCACTTAGGAGAGTTGGTAGGTTGAAGCAATGATCTTGAGGAATTAGGCATAGCCAAGTGATCTTGCTTTATGGAGGTGCTGGGAGAGCTGTGACAAGCTGCAGGCTCTATCTCTGATTAGTAAAATACACCCCCATGGTGGGTATTAGCAGCTTTTCCTCTTGCCATGGTACTGAACTCCTCTCCCTTCTGTAGTGAACATGCTTCCCAGACTGC